AAAAGTTTATTTTTTTCTTTCAACTTTTCAATTTGCTGCAAATCTTCCTCCCCCTCCCTCCCCCAAAAAGTTTAGATTGAAGTGTTTCCCTTAGCTCTCCTCTTGGGTGACAGGGCTCCCCTGTACCCTACAGGGGAAAATTCCCACTATGTCCCAAACCCTGAAGTCAATGGAAGTCGCAACCAATTTAGGCCTCGACTCTGCATGCTACAGCTCATGACTAGAGCCCATTTGGAGTCAGCATTGCTCTTCATGGATGCTGGGGTCCGCCCACATGATGTCATTGCAGGATCGGGGCCCAACTGGATATAGAACGTGGCCTCTCAAGCAGCCATGCCCCTACAAGCCCTGAATTCCACCCTCTGATAACAAGGAGCAAACCCCTCGTGCCTGGGTTGGCTGGTTGACTGTGGCATAAATGGTTCTCTCGCTCTTCTCCGTGGACTCCAGGCCGTCCCTGGACAACTTCTCATCATCCGTTTGCGGAGGCGACTGCAACGAAAGAGACAGAGCTGTCACTCTTCCTGGCAGGAGACAAAAGCTCCGAGCGCTGGGAGATCCGGGGTGGAGTCCTGGTCCCACGAGCGTCCATGGGGCTGGGAGTTTGCTCTGAGCCAGGGGTCCGCAGTGCGGGAAAGCTTCCCTCTGGTCCGGCACGGGCTGGGGACTTTGGGGGTACGTCTACACAGCTCGCATCAGCCAGTCTCCGAGCCCAGGCCCGCAGACTCAGGGCTCGCAGAGCTCAGGCTCCCATGCTAAAAATAGCTGTGAATACGTTGTGACTCGGGCTTGAAGCCCGTCTCCTCCCAGCTCCTGCCTGAGCCGTAACATCTGCACAGCCGTCTTTAGCCCCACAGCCCGCGTCTGATCTGCCGACCTGCTGCCGCCGGTGAAAACAGGTGGCCGGCGCCTGATTCTCCACTGCCCCTGGCGCGGTCATTTACCCCAGTGTAGAATGCTCCCGTCCTGAGCTGATGGCACTCGACAGGGCTGTCAATCAGCACAGAAGGGGCGGGACCATGGAGAATAGGGCCCAGGGAATCTGGCAACCTGGGCATACAAAGGAGACTCACTGGCCTCACTTCCGTGTCTTGCTCTGGGCTGATTTGGAGGAATAAAGAGGGGCAGGGGAGCCTCCAGCCAAACCTCCCAGGTGCAGCGGGGTTTCCCGGGGGGTACAGGGTGTCCCTACACTGCCTGTAGAGGCCCTTGCCCAGGGCCACGCCGCGGGTGGAGTGGCAAAGAGTGCAACTGGTGGCTGGGGAACTGTGACTTCCCACTCTCCTGGGCCCCTGGGGCTGCTCTAAGTTGTGCTGTGGGGGCTGGTCCTCTTCCCAGCCCAGATCTCAGAGCATAAAGGGGAGATAAAGTCTCTTTTGCCCTGTCTCTATCTGCACTGCCCCCTGCCACGCTCTGTCTCCTGCAGGGCTCAGCACAGAACTCAATTCACTGTGGTTAAGCATCAATTGTCATCCCTGCCTCCAGGTTTCACTGATGTCCGGCTCGTTGTCCATATTCTCCCTGAAATCAGAGTGCACCCAGCCACGGGCCCGTTACCCCAGGGGCGGGTGGTTGTTATTAGAGCCCGTAGCATGCTAGGGGTCAGCAGTCACAGTGTTTAACTCCGCCAGCCAGGAGAAGGAACCCATGCCAAATAAACATACAGGAAAGCAAGGTGTAGAGCTCCTACCTGGTTTGGGTAATGGACCTTGGAATAGATAGTTTTTGTCTCATCCTTCTTGGTCTCCGGGCTCGCTTTCGGAGTCCCCGTTCTACTGTGAGACTAAACAGACAGATCCCCCCCCAAAGCATCCGTTAGTGAGCTGCACACAGATTTGCAGCAGCTGAGGCACTGAGCAATCGATCTATTGGGGATCGACTTATCGCGTCTAGTGAAGACGCGATAAAATCGATCCCCGATGGCTCTGCCGTCGACTCCGGAAATCCACCGCGGGAAGAGGCGGAAGCGGAGTCGACGGCGGCGCGGCAGCGGTCGACTCGCCGCCGTCCTCACAGCCAGTCGACCTGAGAAGATACGCTATTCACGTAGCAGAAGTTGCGTATCTTAGGTCGACCCCCTCCCGCCCCCCCGTAGTGCAGACCTAGCCTTGACTTTACACAATGCTTTGCAGAGTCAGGTCAGGGTGCAATCATCACCAGGAGCAAACGAGGTCAAAGCTGTGGTCAGAAAAGCCCCAAAGGATCGGAACGGCTGCTCATTCTCTCTAGGAGCAGCTGCAGCTTTCAGCTCGACCGAGCGTTATTGCATGTTCCAAAGGGACGTCAAAAATTTTCTGGCTGCTTCCAACCCCTCTTCCTCTTCCCCCATCACAAAGTGACCCCAGTGTTTCTGTTAGCCCCGCATATCCCTTGATTGGGGCCCCACAGTCCCATACGTGTGGTAAATCTAAGGCACTGGTACCATCAACCCATCCTGGCTATTCGTCTGGCTAAGCAGAACCACTGCCTTGAATTGGTAACGGTTTCACCACGAGGGAGCTTTAGGTGAACAACTCACCAGTGGCAAATTGCCGACTTGGGCGTAAACCGTGTTTTTTTCTGCATCGGTCTCTGCAATGAGAAGAATGTGAGAAGTAAGTGAATGGAACAGACCCCACTGCCAATGGAGACTGGGAACTGGGAGACACTGGACTAATTACATAGGGCTGGGAAGTCCCCTTGGGGTGCCCTCATCCATTCTGTATGGTAACTTCAGACAGATGGAGAGGACATGCCTGAGTGCTTAAGGGAAATCTGTGTTATTTCTGATCCATGTTACTGGGCTCATTGGGCAATTAATTGATCTTTGATTATTAGCAGGTAAATATGCCCAATGGTCTGTGATGGGATGTTAGCTGGGGTGGGATCTGAGTTACTACAGAGAATTCTTTCCTGGGTGCTGGCTGGTGAGTCTTGCCCACATGCTCAGGGTTTAACTGATCGCTATATTTGGGGTCGGGAAGGCATTTTCCTCCAGGGCAGATTGGCAGTGGCCCTGGGGGGTTTCGCCTTCCTCTGCAGCGTGGGGCACGGGTCACTTGCTGGAGGATTCTCTGCACCTTGAGGTCTTTAAACCACGATTTGAGGACTTCAATAACTCAGGCATAGGTTAGGGATTTGGGTGGGTGAGATTCTGTGGCCTGCGTTGTGCAGGAGGTCAGACTAGATGATCATAATGGTCCCTTCTGACCTTAAAGTCTATGAGTCGTTAAAGATCCCTGGGCACTTTGTGAATGACCAGGGGGGTTCACCTTAGAACCAGGCCAAACTCTAACTCTGGTAACTATAGCAGTGTTGCTATGCAGTATTAAACAGCTGCCATGTTCCCCCTCAGAGGTGGCTGCATTACAATGATGGGTGACAAAAATCTCCGTAAACTTTATCAATCATTTTGTAAGGCACTTTGGGATACCAAGGGATGAAAAGTACTAAGCAACTGTTCAAAGAATAAATAACAGGTGACTAGTTGTCTGTGGCGCTTTTACTTTCAGTAAAAGAAAAGACCTTTTAAATGAGTAATCTAATAGCCCAAAACAATAGTGGGGGGGAGGGGGTTAAAGAGGGGAAAATACGTATATTTCTTCAATTCTTCCCCCTGTTTTTGTTGAAATTAAAAATTTTTTAGAAGCTCGACACTTTTTTAGAAACTTGAAAATTTGCAACCAGTTCTACACTTGCTTCAAAACAGGGAAAATGTAAAAAACCCAAAATATTTGGGGGGGGGAGAGGAAGGGGGAGTGAAAATTCAAAATTTGTGAATTTTTTACAATCAAGATTTGAGAAATTGCTCCCAGCGCTCTGATACAACCACTAAAACTTAAAACTAAGCTTAAAACCACACAGCCTTAAAACTAAACCAAAGTAGCAGAGGTATCAGGGATCTGCCAGATCCCGCCCACCGCTGCCGTAGAGGGCTTGGATATCCACGTTAAGACATCTCCAACCACAAAGAGCAAACCAGGTACTTCTCCATGCATGTAGCCTTTATTTCAGATTAAGGAAAAACAACAAAGAGAGAACAAATATGAAGTCTCCATGGGAGAAAGATGAATAGAACACAATGGCTCATTTTGTAACATGTCCAGTCTGCACAATCCCTCGGGCTAATTCTCCTCTAGCTTGCATGTTGTGTTGATGACGACAACTCCAAAATGAGTTATCAAAAGTCCAGGGAATGGGAAGCATTTGTTGAGTGGCGACAATCCCGGCATCTTTTCTCCTTCCGTTTGGTTTCTTAGAAGGACATTTATACTTTGCAGCTTGAGAGGTTAGTCTTTCTGATTCAGGGAAGCACTTAGACACATGGTTAGCTTTCATAGTAATTAATATCTACCTCTTGTCTAGAGCTTTTCATCAGTCAATCTCAAAGCGCTTTACAAAGGAGGTCATTATCCCCATTTGATGTAAGGGGAAACTGAGGCACCGAGCAGGGAAACTGACTCCTCCATGGTCACCCAGCAGGCTAGTGGAAGAGCCGATACTAGAACCCTTGTCTCCTGAGTCCTAGTCTGGCCACTGGCCACTAGGTAACACTGCCCATCAAAGCCAGCTTTAAGTCCCATAAACTGTACTGGAGCTTACGCAAGTGCTTCAGTGTTCTCCTGAATACAGATACCCTCCTGGAGTGAGACACTGCTTATGAAGCAGCGCCGTTCCTCCTTATGTGCCATCTCCCCCAGCGTCTGCATCAGTCTTTAAACGTGTCAATGTCATTCTTCTATTTTCTTAGCTCTTGTGGGATCTTTTGCTGTTGCTTTCAGCTGCATTTGCACTAAAATACTGTTCAAAGTTACAAGTCCCATGCTTCCAAAACTTCCTTTGTTTCATTCAGCCGGAACCTTTCCATATTCCTGTAAGTGTCCATTCCACCTTTCTATTTGTCTTCCCTTTAACCCGGAAATCTCTCCCACGCTCCTTCACTTTCTCTGAGCTACTTGTTGTTTTACCGTCCCATCCTCACGGCCGCATCTTTGTCCTTCCCGGAAGTGGAGAGTAAAAGGTATTTTCATGCGTAGGTGCCTTTTATTCCAGATTTAACAAAAACAACAGACAAAGGAAGAACAAATGTAAAGTTGCCAGGAGAGGGAGTGAGAGCCCAGTGTGTGTGGGTTGGCCCTGCGACATTCTGCCTCTGAGAAAAAACACAAAGTGGCACCTGCCTCACTGCTACCTACAGCACAACCCTTCCCGTGGCTGTCTTGTGCGACCAAACCAGCCTAATGGGCAACACCAGGCTTTGGTCTCTGGCCTAATCCCTGCACTAAGATCTCTGGCTTTTGGCCACCTACTGTATTTTCTAGGTAGATGGGGCTGCATAAGTGTCCCTCCTCCTCCTCCTCCCCTACCAGCCACTCAGCTCACAACCTTGCCCTCATCTCCTCCAAGGAGAGAGACCGATGGAGCTGGGGGAGGAGCTGAGGGGTGGCAGTGTGAGGAGCAGCTGGCAAGGGGAGGGAGGGTCTGGGGGGTCAATGCCACAGACACAAACTGTGCACCCCTTAGCACCCCCCCCCCATTAGACACGGAGTTAAGGTCTGGGGAGGGAGGGGAGAGGGAAGCACAGCACTAGAGGGTTAGGGTGACCAGATGTCCCTATTTTATAGGGACAGTCCCGATATTTGGGGCTTTGTCTTATATAGACTCCTATTACCCCCCACCTTCTGTCCCAATTTTTCACACTTGCTGTCTGGTCACCCTACAGAGGGTATCCAGGCTAAGGGAGCTGGAGGGGAGTGTGGCTGAGGGGAGTCCGGCTGAGGTGCGGGGATTGGATGGGGAACCAGCCAGAGGGGGAGTAGTCCTATGGAAATAATGCACATTACAGTCATGCCCTGCGCTGTGTGAAAGACAGTACAAAGACAGTACGCAGGAAATGACCCAGGGAAAGGAGCAAACCACCTTATGTGCATATCAGTTAACGTCCCCTCTACATTCAGTCCCAGCTGTTTGCTCCGACATATGTTGTGGTAGCTCCTGTGACCACCATGCAGCTACCGAGAAGCTGGAGGAATTAACCCTTTGGCTGTTCGGAGGTGTTCTCCGGCTGGAGTTATTTACCAAGTTAATTTTGCAGCTGGCCAATGACTGTGCTCTACTTCAGGCCCAGCTCAGCAGTAGCTGGGTGAGATTCTGTGTTGTGCGGGAGATCAGAATCCTTGGCTTGTTGGGGATAATGACGGGGGTGAAAGTAACTGAGGACACTTACCGGTACGGGGCGGGGCGGCTCCGGCCCCTGAAGGGGCGGGGCATTGGGCAGAAGGGGCGGGGCTAGGGGGTCAGCATCCCCCAGCCAGCCCTTCCAGGCCGCCTGTCCCACGCCACCTGGGGCTCTCGTGTTGATTTAAAGGGCCCGGGGCTCCGGACGCCGCTGCTGCAGCTGCCTTTTAAATCGCCGGCCCCAGGGCAGCTGCTCCCTTTGCCCCCTCCCGCCTGTCGGCGGCCGGGGGGGGGAGGGACGTTAAAGCGCTGCAGGGTCCTTTTAACGTTGCTGCCCCTTCCCCCCCTCCCCGTCGATGGCCCTGCCGGTACAGACCCTACCAGCAGGGCCGCCGACAGGGGAGGCAAAAGGGGCAGGGACTTTAAAGCACTTTAACGTGGGCTGGGTATGGGCCGGTGCTGGTTCTTACTGGTACGGAGTACCAGCCCATACCGGCTCACTTTCACCTCAGGATGAGGACCTCCTTCTTGGGCTGGTTTTGCCCAGTGCCTCGTACCGGGGGCTGCATGAGGCAACAGTAATAGCACACGATCGTAACATCCCTTCTGGCCTTAAAATCAGAGTCCGTGTTTGCCCCAAACAGGAAAGGGGCTGAAAATCAGACTTGGAAAGTAAAATGCACTTGGGGGGCGGGAGGGGAGAGGTGCAGGCCAGGAGGTCAATGGGACACAGGAGACTCTTACCTGAGCTGCCAGCAGGTTCTGGAGTGTACTTTTGCGAGGCTGCGATGGAAAAAAACAAAAGGGGACGTGCATTAGAAGACCACAGATCAAACCAAGAGCAAAATGTCGTTGCTTCCTCTGTGGCTTTCAACCTTCTCCACACCTGGAACCCTCCCTGTCCAGCCAGGGCCCTTCCTCCCGCACTAGGGGAAGGACAGGCTGGCGGTGGGGAGAAGCAGAGCAGGGGCCTTGCTGCTCGGATGCGGATATCCTGCACCGTCTCCAAGCAAAGCCCTGCCACAGCGGCAGCTGTTCCACTCCTTCTTTGCTGCTCTTTGCAGACCCCCCACCCCAAGCTAATCCCGCGACCCACACTGATGGGGTGTAGAGGGTAATCAGCAGTTCCTTCCGTGATTGCAGAGTCCAGGCCGGGACTCAGGGAGAGCCTTACACACTGAAAGTGGGTGGAAATGGCCCCCTGAGAGCGCCTCCTACACCCCCGCACTGGGGACCTCCCTGGCTGTGTTGGAGCTGGGAGAAGAGCTCTGCACCTGCCCTGCCGCAGCACCTGGTGTAGGGGACAAGTCAGGAGTGTGGCTGGAGTGTGCTGTGCTGCAGCTAGTCTCAGCAACCCAGGGCCATCGGGAGCACCAGGGAGCAGAGCATAATTAGAGCAGCCTCGGGGCTGCTCTAACTTACAGCAGGGGAACATGGGGAGCAGAAAGGTGGCAGAAAACCACCTTGGTCCTTGCTCCAGGAAACAGCACCTGACAATCAGGGCCCACTGCAGCGGCTCTAGGTAGCACGGAATGGGAGCTGGGGAGCCAGAGAGGACCACGGAGTCGGTCTTTACCCAGCAGCCTTGATAAAGATTCTGTTTGTATTCCTCAGAGCCCAGCCCAGCCTCTTCTCTACAGCGAAAGTCGTCACAGGCTGCTGCACCCTACGTCCAGCAGGAGAGTTATTCTCCCCAGAGGGCATGAGAGGGTAATCTGCCACCCCTCCTCTGCAGCACCCAGTGGAGTTACACTGGGGGGGGGGGGCTTTACAATCTGTACCAGCCCCCTCCCCTGGCCTTTTTAGCAGCATTGCATCTGCCTCAATCGAAACGCCTCCTAGCGCAGTGCACTCCTATCAGGGCTGGGGCTTTGCAGTCACAGTCCAGCCTTTGTACCGCGTCAGCTCCGAAGGGCAGGGGCCTTTGCCTTGCAAAGCATCATGGTCCTGCCTCAGTGCAGGGGGCGGGACGGGGTGACCTCGAGGCCCCTTCCAGCCCGACATTGCAATGATTGACACCTATTGTGCTACAGAAGCTGTTGTTATTCCACCCCTGTGAAGAAACTTACCTCTTTTGCGCTTGTGTGTGTACACGAACCACAGAGCAATGATGAGAAGGCCGACGATGACAATAACAATTGGAACTGCAATTCCAGCTGTACTGGCAGATTGGAACTGTGGGTTTGCTTAAAAGAGAAAATAAATAGTTCAGTGACAGTGAAGAAAACGGCCATGAGATGTAACCGAAAAGCACATTCCTCCTCTACCCCACAACAGGATGCCCGTGTGGGCTGCAGGTCGGCAGTTTTCAAACCATCTCCCGAGACCCACCAATAGTTTGCAGGCTCCTCTCCTGCTGCTACAACCAGCCAAGCAGTAGGGGGATGTTTGGGAGGCCATGTCCTGCCTCAGCACTGAGTGTTGGTAAATAACCCTCAGTCAGAGACCGTTGTTTGTCCTGCTGACCAGTACAGTCGCCTTGTTCGCTTGTCCTCCCTGGTCTGTCTGAATCCAGCTGTCTCCTGTCTTATCTCTTTGGGGCAGGGACCCTCTGTTTTCGTTCCGTGTTTGCACAGCGCACTGGGGTCCCCGTTCGTGACTAGGGCTCCCAGCTGCGACAGTAATACATTATTATTATTATAATTTAGCCACTCCATGGTGTTACAATGAGGGGGAAATGGCAGATGTCTTGTGCAAGGACAAACAACACATTTAATTAAAAAAACAAACAAACTTGGGGAGCTTTGGGCCTCAGTCACATTCACACCCCGGCTCCTCCCCACCACTCTGGCATTGTAAAGCAGCCTTAGAGTGAGTGTAAATATAACTTCCACCCCAGTTTGAGATCCCCGCATGCTGCCATTGCCATGTAAAGGCACCAGAGGAAGAGCTTTTGAGGGGGAAATACAAAGCGCCTGATTCACATGGACACTGAGTTCAGTGGACAGACATAGCCAGAAGTCCATGGAGCGACGCCGATTTCTATTTGCTGAGGATCTGTCCCGTTTTGTTTACGCTCCTCCAGATGCTTTCAGTACTCCAGCCCCGTAGGGGACCCCAGCAATAGCTTGAGTTATTTCCCTATGTCAATGCCAAAGCCTCCTGGCCTGTCTCTGCATGATGTTTTCCAGTGGACCTAAAGAGTTTCTTCCATTTGAACCCAGGTTTGCTCCTGAATTACCACTTATTGGGCCAGGGTCCCCAGCTAATGGAAAGCGGCATAGCTGTATTGACTTCAGTGGAGCTACACTGATTTATACCCGCTAACATCTCCAATATTGCCAACCTCCAAATGTCCAAATATCACGAGATTCAAAGTAATATTAATTTTTATTTTTCTTCTGTTTATTGAGCCCTATAACCACAAGGACTAGAAACTTAGGTCTCCCCCGCCTCCCCATGAAAGCTGTGATTCTTATGTAATCCCATGATTCCCGGAGCTGGGGCTTGAAGAAAAACACTAAATATCACAATAAAATGGTGAGTTGGCAGCACTGGATCTAGCCCCCCGAGACAGTAATTAGCTGGCAGTTAAAAGCAGACAAGACGGTAAGAGTGGCTCACCAGTGGTGGTGGTTGTTGTGGGTGCTGACGTCATGTGGTAAAGTGGCGTTGTTGCAATGTGCGTGATGGAATACAGCATAGGGAAGAGAATGGGGACAAGGGAATAAGTGTATCTGGAAAGACACCATGTTCCCGACGCAGACCCAATGCCAAGGAAAAGCATGTGTGTGTGCATGAGTAATATCTCTTGTGCGCCCAACCACCACCCACCCTCTCTCCACCCGCACATCCCACTTGGAGTACCAGGAAGAGGGAGGAACTAATAGCTCCATTCTGTTTCTCCTAAGTAAGGCCAGGGAAAGTCAGTAACAGTCTCCACCTAGACTGGAGTATGAGCCGCAGGGGGACTAGATCTTCATGTAGAAGAAAAGGGAGTTAAACCATTCTTCTTCCATCAAGTGCAAGTCCTGCTCCAGCTACTGGCAGGAATTCTTGGGGTCCCAAAAATTCCTCACATAGGCAACAGCTCCTTCTGCTTCTCCCACTTCTGATCCCACTGATGTATGCCCCAGTGAAGAGGCAGGAGGGTAGAGACCTCTGCAGTTCTTGGCTGCCTCCAAAAATGGAAGTATCTAAATATCCCATGATATTTATGAACTGGTGGAAACAGGAATTATGGGGACTCCTGGGACTCAGCCTGATTCTCAGAATTTCTCAGAAAGATAAATATTTGAGCTTCTATATTCTGTGCTTATCCATCACTGGGCACCCAAGTTCTTCAAGTACTAATTGTCATTATTTGCCTTCTTACTCCCTTTTAAAGAAGTCATCCTTATACTTTCATCTCCATAACAATAGATAGGTTTGAAAAATGAAAAATAATTTCTTGATTTTTTAAAAAATTGTTTGTTATGCAAGGTTCAAAATGGACCCTTTTAAATGATATGATTGCAATATATTTAATCAATTTTTTATCAAACTCATTGTTGAAATGGTTATCAAAATTAAACAATTATTTTATTACCAAAACCAGTGTTTTCCCATTAACCAAACATATAACCATTTTCATTTAAAAAATAAAAGAGTCAATTTTTCATGAAAAATTTTGGTTTTGTAAAAAGATCATTTTTCAGTGCAAAAACTTTTCAGATGAAAAATGTCAACCAACTCTAGGTAACAATCAGTTCTGAGTGAGAGAGTGCATTTCTACTCTTCTACTGACCCAATCAATCTATGATTACAATGAGCCTGCTCCTGCCATTGACTTGAGAGTTCTGCATATGACAAGTGGGCCCTTTAGTATCATTGACATTTATGGGTTAAAAAAAAAAAAGTCTTTGATGCAGCGAGAGTTACCTTTGCAAATGGTCTTTGGAAACTCTGTCCTGGAGCTGTTACTGGCGGGGTTCTGGGCTGTGCAGGTGACGGCCAGGTGAGCATCACGGGGGCTCAGAGAGATGTGCAGAATGGACTCATTGGGTACAACAGTGCCCCCTGCTGTGTGAGTCCAGCTGTAGGTCACATTGTCCCCTCCATCCCTGGCGGTGCAGCTCAGGTTGTAGTTGCAGGTTTCATTCACACAGGTCACTGAGTGACAGGCGACAGCTGGCTCCAGTACTGGCTCTGCATGGGGGATGGCAGAGAAAGCAAAATATGAAAACGCTGCAGTCTTACAAGCAACTGCATGAAGACACCAGGACAGCAGAACCACAGGTATCACAGAATTACAGAATATATGGAAAAGACTCATAGACTTTAAGGCCAGAAGGGACCATTGTGATCATCTAGTCTGACCTCCTGCACAACGCAGGCCACAGAACCTCACCCACCCAGTCCTATAACAGACCCAGACTATCTGGCTGAGTTACTGACATCCTCAAATAATGATTTAACGACTTCAGGCTACAGACAGAGAAACTACAATTTACCTATCCTAGAGCACATCCTGTAAGCAATGCAGGATTGCGCCATACAATATACTTTCCAGGGCTTTCTCTACTCCAATTTTAAGTGACTCAAGTGATGGAATCATCTAGTAGAGATGTGTACAGATATTCCTATTTGAATTCATATTGGATGATAATTGTATTCAAGGGTCCTTATTCAGAAATATCCACATTCAGGAAATCTTAGGGGTAATGGCACAATATTTATTTTGTGAGTTCTATTATGGTTCTTAGAACTCACATGAAGTGGAGTTCGTATACAGCTTGGAATGAGGGAAAGAGAGCTGAATAGCTGGATGGTGTCTCAATCATGCAGAAAGACAAGGACAGGACTTCCTTTTCCTTCCCTGCAAAGGATTCTGGGCAGGGAAGCCCTCTATAAAACTCCCTGGCTTTCAGTTGGGAGTCACAGTTGGAGGAGGAAGGGGTACAAGGAGGAGCTTGGGTCTGGTGGAGTTATGTTATGGAAGGTGTTCCCTGTTTTTAATTTAAAAAATTTGGTATTATTTTTAACCCCCCCTAAACAGGTGATGCAGGGGTGGGGCATGCAGGGTCCCCAGATTTCCTGCTTGGCTTGTACTGATCATGCTCAGTAACTCTGCTGAAGCCAGCCGTCCTCACTCTGCTCCTCCAATATCAGGAGGCATGGGTTGTCTCTACCTCTGAACTGGGTCTTGTTGCTTTATTGGACAACCTTGCTGCTGTACTCTACTACACCACACCTACTTTGTAAAACAGAGAGGGAGAGAGAGAGAGAGAAACCTTTCCCTTCCTAGGAATCAGCTGAAGGACTTTTGGGTCTGGATGCAAGATGCTTTTACAGCTGCCAAGTTTCATACAACTCCATGTGTCATTATTTATGCAAATTATCAAATGAGCTTACTTGCAAATAATTTGCATAAAACCATAAACTTCAAGGTCAACACACCTTGCCCCAAAAAGTGGCAGAGGTAGGGAATGGAACTGCACAAAACCTGGCAACTGTGGTGGGTGGGTACTGGAAGTTGTGGGTGTAGGAGGGAGTGGAAGAAGGGTACCACAGCATGTATGGGACGTGCTGGTGGCTTTCTAGTAGGTAGTGGAGTAGGAGAGGGAGGCTGGGGGTGGATGCTGGGTTTTCTGTAACTGCTGAAGTGCCTGGGAATTGTTGTCTACTAGTTGTCTGGGGTTGCTGAGGGACCTTGCCACACCTGGTAGGGGAAGAGCCTCACCTCATGCTGCTGTCACTACCACCTTCTCCTCCAGCCACTGCTGCCATCTCCCACTCTTCCAGACTCTGATCCAGCCGGGGAGAGACAGAGGAGGCGCCTGGCTGCCAAACTAGAGACCTGCAGCCTGTATCTTTTCCACAGCCTGAATGGATGCAGAAGAACTCAGCTGAGCTGAGGGGGTGCATGATGACAGGCATTGCCAAATGTATGAGTTTCAGGCGAAATGCCAGACACCTGGCAGCCCTGAATTGGTGGCTCTTTCTCCGTTGTAGACAAGGGTATAGAAAACCAGACAGAGCTTGGTTGATTCAGGTCTCAGTTACATGGGACTTACACCAGCATGACTCCACTTACTTCAAAGCAGTCACACCACCGTAAACCTGGTATAAAGGAGTGATGAATTGGGGCCTCCCACACACTGCTGCAAAGTCAGCTTGGGGTGGTAAGTGGGAGAGGATGTCCTGGTTGGTGGAACAGTTTTTGTTTGTTATATAGGAGTTCAGTGTTCTCAGTAAAATGCCACCAGGTGTAATTTTTACTTTGTGAAATGTTAAAATTAAAATAAAGTAAAAAATCTGCCCCAGACTTACTGTACACGCGCAGTGTGAAGCGCTTGGTAACAGAGCCTTTATCCGTGTTTACGGCCGCTCTGTATTGTCCCGTGTCCTCCATCCGCAGGTGGGTGATCTGTAGGGAGTAGCTCTCGTCAAGGATTTCCAGGCGTCCGCGGTAATTTGTTTTGTCTATCAGAACGACATTGGGTGGTTTCCCAGGTGTTACAGTTACTAGACTGTTTGTGTTTACAGTCCAGGCAGCGTTCTCGAATTGCTCTGCTGCTGGGATCTCCAGAGGGAAAGTGACCGACCTTCCCAGAATTCCGCTCAGCTCCATCGTGCCTGCATTTTTGGTACATGGAAGGAAAGAAAAGGAGGCTTTAGGAACAGATCGACCACATACCCCATCACAACAAGCCAAGCACATTCCACACCCACTCCCCAGGCAGTGCAGCTAAGCAGAGCCTTGGAAGCGTATTGCTTTCAGTTTATTAAAAATGTGCTTTTTCTGAATTCTAAGCCCATGAGCATATACTTACAGAACCATATGCAGAGTCATATAGGACCAATGCCCACCTCAAAACTTCCCGTATCACTCCCTCCTTCCCCAAAGACACAGGCAAATCATAGGAAAATGGCTGAGCTTTGCAACCTGCCCTGAAGATCAACACACCTGGGCTCTGTGAAACCAGTGTGGAGGTAATTTTGCTGAAAATGCTTTGCCACCAGTTTCCAGGTGATTAAATATGGGAGTTGTTAGCTTGAGCAGCTCAGATGATATTAAACCCAACACCTTACATTGCACCCAGAAATGAACTGGAGGCCAGTGAAGATCTCAACACAGCGGGGTAAAAATTTCCCTCCAAAATCAGACTCTACAAGCCACAGTGGAATAAATCATTTTGTGCTCTTGGATGAGGCAGTGGGCCTTCTTGATGGTTCTGTTACTTCTTTTGGTTTGTTCCCTGTCTACCCCTTCACTTCCCATGGGCAACATGGCAGAAACAAGTTTTTAGGGGGTTGGGTTTTATGAAGCTGGATTCCCCAGTTTGTCAAGTTCACTTTGTGCTTCTCACATGGCAGCTGAAGAACTGCCTTGGAGAATTCCCCCTGTGGAGGAGGAATCGCCACTGGCTGCCAAGCTGGTGGAGGTGGATTTGTTGCACCAGCTCTGATCCCTATCCCTGCTGCTTCCTGCACCGCAACTCTGGGGGTCATGTCAGGGTCTGTGTCGAGGAATGAGAGGGGAGAAGGCATGGTAGAGTCAGAGGCGGCTTAAGGTTTTCTGGGGCCCTAGGCCAGAGCAAGTGGGGGCTCCCTCCCCATCCCTTCCGCCTGCAGCTCCTGTTCCACCCCTTCTGTCTGCAGCCCTGCCCACAGCTCCACCCCTTTCTGCCCCTTCCCTGGGCCTGCCCCTGTTCCACCCAGGGTCCCCCCCATTCCTTCCCCACTGCAGCCCCACAACCTCTTTTTCTCTTTTCTGCCTCCCCCCCGTCCCAACTGCGGCCCTAAGATTAGAGAAGCTCTGTCCACATGGCTTGGCATGGCCCGGGGCGCAGTGGGGAGTGAGAGCTCCTCCAATCCCAGGGCTGCAGTGGGGGTCCAGGTGCTGGGGCTTCCCCTGCCACCCCCAATGCTTCTGCAGGAGACCAGGGTCGGGGTGCTGGGTGCTTCTGCCGGAGAGCGGGATTGGGCGCAGGGGCTTCCCGTGCTGCCCCACAGCTTCTGCTGAGGGTGGGTGGGGGGCCCTGAGGCTTCCCCTGTCTGGCACTTCCGCCATACCGCGGCTGCTTCCGGGGATGGGGTTGGGCAGGGGCAGCTGCGGGGAGGCCTCCCCCATCCCACAGTTGCTGCCACAGAGCAGGGTTGGGGCATGGGGTTTTCTGGGGCCCCTAAATTGGCCGGGGCCCCTGGGCACGGGCCCCGTCGGCCCTGTGGCTAATCCGCCACTTGATAGAGTGAGTCTCCACTATGGCTGATATCCCACTACCCATCTGTAGCTTTAACTTACCTGGGGCTGGGTGCATGAGAATCAGGAAACTATAGCCAAATTGCACCCCGCCACCCCCCACCCCTTCTCCAAGCTGTGCTCAGGCACCATAAGAATCAAGCCCATAGCTTCTTTAGTGATGAGCAGGGTATAAACGAAAATGTGGAGATAAGAAATGAAAAAGAAGAGGAATGGAGGCTGAGGAGTAGAGAGGAGAGGGCCGGGAGGGAATGGGAAAGGAGACCAGGTCTGAGATGCAGGCAAGGCCAATAATAAATAACAATAATGGTCCCTAGGACCCTGCTCCTCCCACGTAAAGGAACAGCTTGGGATTGTGTTGTTTTTCGCTGTTACACTTAAAGCTAAAAAGATGACGCCTCAGTGGTGCCTTTAGCTCTTCTTCTGCTGTCCTGTGACTCTGGACAGGAAACAGCCGCTCCCCCTGACTGCATGGGACTGACAGATGTGGAAACCCCCAGAGACTAATCTATCTGGACAAGACAAGAAATGTCTCAGCCGCTGCGGGTTCATTAACTGGATGTGTCAGAGATCACAGCTTAGTGAGATGTGTAAGGCCAAATGTGTCCCTCCTACAGCTCCATATAGTAGTTACAGCTCTGTAATGACTGGACAGACAGACAGAGACGAACCAGAGCCCAGGGTTGGCTTTACTGTGTGTTGGCTCTAGTCCAGGCTGCCTGTGGCAGGCAGGGAAAATGCCTGTCTCAGTTAGAAATCAAGTTGCAGGAGCGATGCACTAACTATTTCGAACCAGATTCTGATCCCTCACTCGGTGTGTGCCACCTCACAGTACTGCCAACCGGGAGTGTCAAAACTCCTGAGTCAAGCCCCCCAAAATCAAGAGAATGGCTTAGAAATCATAAGATTTTTTTTTTAAATAATAAATTTGGGGCTCTTTCTGTGGGCCCTCTAGTGTTGTAGCCTTTACGGGGTCACGACTTCAAACTAGAAACGTACTTTTCTTTTTAAAGGAAAGCTGAAATTCTCACTTAATCACCAGACTCCAGGAGCTGGGGCTTTAAGAAACACCCCCAGACTCTGACTTTGCTCTGGAAGTAGTTCGTTGGGCCCATTGCATTCTGTACTCTTGCTCTCGTTGAGTAGTACCTTTAAAGCCATTTGTGGTGTAAGATGCTATCTAATATAATTAAGAGACATCAGAATCTGACCCTTACGGTACATCTACACTGGAATAAAAGTCACGTGGCCTGGCCGCGGCTGGCCTGGCACAGCTGACAGGGGCTTGCAGGGCTTGGGCTGCGGGGCTGTAAAATTGCTGTGTAGACGTTCGGGATCGGGCTGGAGCCTAGGCTCTGGGACCCTGCGAGGGGGGAAGATCTCAGAGTCCTGGCTCCAGCCTGAGCCCAAACATCTCCACTGCAATTCTGTGAGCCTGAGCCAGCCGCGGCCGTGCCCAGGTCGTTGATTGCAGTCACACACTCAGCGTCTGGACAGTCTATACTCCATTAAAGTCAATAGGATGGTGTAGTGGGGCAGTGTGGTTCCCCGCCGCCCCGGAGAGAGACAAGCCCCGGCTAACCTCTCTACAGATGGTTTGGCCCTGATGGGCTGTCTACAGTGCATATGAGAGCGTCACATGTACCAGAGCTCGTTGATCAATCAGCTTGCTAGAAATAGCTGGGTAGCTGCGGCAGCATGGGCTCGTACAGGAGTTCCCCAACTTCATTGCACCGCGATCCCCTTCTGACAACAAAAATTACTACACGGCCCCACAAGGGGGACCGAAGCCTGAGCCTGCCTGAGCCCTGCTGCCCTAGGTCGGGGGGGGGCAAAGTCAAAGCCCGAGCCTGAATCCCACCACTCCGGGTTGGGAGGCAAAAGCCGAAGCCCAAGGGCTTGTAAACCGAGCCTTGCTACCCAGGGCTGAAGCTCTCGGCCCTGGGCGATGGGGCTCGGGCTTCAGCCCCGGGCCTCAGCAAGTCGAACGCCAGCCCTGGGGACCCCATTAAAACAGGGTTGCGACCCACTTTGTGGTCCCTCCCGACCCCCAGTTTGAGAACCGCTGGGCTAGTACAATCCCTCCTGGGTATGTACAGTAGTAGGGTGGCAAAACCTGTTCCACCGCCCCGTCATTCTGGCTCCATGGCTGGTTTTAAGGCATTGGCAAGATCAAGGCTGGCTCGGATACGTGTGCTGCGATCACACCCACTAACTGCCGTGTAGATGTAGCTTTCAGGATTTACTGCCTACAGCTAGGCTCCGATGGAGGGTTTATTTAATCTCGTGATTTTCCCCAGGTGTGCACATTTTCTCTGCCCCCTCCCTATTTGTTCTCCTTTTGCCACATGAGTTTAGGGAAGTTGGGTGGCGGGGGGGGGAGTGTGAGATCTGCCCATAGCGGTTTGTCATTTATTTACATCGTGGGTGGCAGCCACTGCTCATCCCTCACTGACTGCAGACGGGATCAGATTCTGAGTCGCTCTACACTTGCGTGAGCCACTGTGGAAATTGCACAGGCTGAACTTGGACCTGATTCACCTCTGGTTTACACGAACGCCTCGCCAGCAGAACTCAGTGGAGCTATTCCTGATTCACAGCAGCGTCAGCGAGCGAGACGAGAATCAGGTCCTCGTTGTGTAGGGAAGCAGCACCCGGAAGTGGTTTTCTGTTCTTCTTTCCAGCCTCCTCCGGACTCTGAAGCATTCCCTGTGCACAGCTAAGAAGCCTCACCACAGGAAGAGCAAGAGTGACGATGAGCTAACCCCTGGGGATTGGTGATGAAATACAGAGCTCTGCCTCTACGTCCCTGGTCCAGCTGTTCCAACCAGTCACTGTGGTGGCTGTGTAGTGGCTGCTGTGTGACGTGAGTTGGTGGAATCTACGCAGAGCCTGATGGACACGTGTCCAAATGACAATCTGGTCCATTGCTGGCGTCTAGACACCTAGGTCTGAATGATCCATGGAGACGATTCATTTCTGACACCTAGATGTGGTTCCTCCAGGTCTGGGTTCAGGCAGATGGGGAAGTTTGTGCCGCCACGGCCCGTGATACACCTGCGGGTGGAGGACCTGTGTCTCCAGGGTTGTCAGTTTGGTGCCTTTCACCAGCACGAAATTCATCAAGGATTCAGACCTGAAGTCCTCCATTGGTCCAGACTCCCCATTGTGCCATCACTGGGAGATTTGCTGAAATTTTGGGGCTGGATGCTACCCTCCCGAAATTAGTCAGTGCGTTGTCAGCTGATTTGGTAATTAAGACAATGAGCTGGGACCCAGGAAATCTGCATGTGGTTCCCAGCACTGTCAGACTCATATGTGACCTTGTGCAGGTCATTTAATCCTTATGTCAGTTCCGCCATCTGTAAAAATGGGG